TGCCTAAGGTGAGGAAAGGCACTAGTCTGGCAAATCCCCGTTTGCAGGCCCGGCACGCCGACAGTGATTTCGCATTGCTGCTGTATTCATCTTGGAATGAGAGAAAACCCGAGACGTCCGCTGGGGTCATAGCGGGAGTCCTGTCGATAAAAGTTGACCGTTTTGAACCAGCATGCTGGAACCCAAGGGATTCCACAGCATGATTGGCTTCTATGATGCAGTGGAAATGAGGGCTAAGAGGATTGAGAAAAAAGTTGGTGAGACGGCGCCAACGAGATGATCGTCTGAAGCAAGAAAATTCCTGGTGCACCCGATGGATCATTCACTGGCGAACATGAAATTCTCGACTCTGGGCCAGGACACTGCGACAGCTTGTCTTCGTGATCATATATGACGGATATTTAGCTACAAGGATAGGATAGGATACAAATTTCACCAGAGAGGAAAACCATCGGCCGTACTCAGATGGGTGTAATACGGCTATCTCCAAGCCCGACCCCGTAACGTATGCGCATGCGACGGTATGGTTCCGTAACCGTCCTACCGGTAGCCGCTGGTAGCCGTCACACCGTCTACTACATATTATGGCGGAAGCGCGGTCGCCGATGAGCTCATCACGTCAGGCAACGGTGAGACTGGAAGAGAGCTGACACCTTGGATTTGAGGATGCAGCAATTTTGGCAGCTCGAGTTACAAAGTACGTGGAGAAGTGAGCGTGAGAAAAATGATTCTCAGCTGTGGGACCTAAGGATATTCCCAGCATGTGGTAGGGTCGTGTCACGCACGGACCAGGACAACAAAAATGGAGCTCCAAGAAATCCATGATTATTTCGCCAAAAATTTGAGTCATTCCTTTTTCTTTTGACAAGAATACCAAGTCAATTACATGTAACTCAAGCTCTATGCCCAAGGCTGATAATTAGACAGCATAATACTGTACTATTTCATTCAATTCGGCAGGCACTGTGACCTGTGACCTTGCCGAAAATTGAAAATATCGCCCAGAGGGCATAGGTCTGTGCAGAGATGGATTCAGCACACTTGAAAGAGCTTGAATCCATGCTGACCTTGAAAAAGGGGTAGAATTCTGGCCCGCTAGAACTGAATCTTTGTCAGCAAAGTGCTAAAAAAGGGTGACTTTCAGACGGCTGTGACCTGTGACTGCCGAATTGAATGAAATGGTACAGTAGCTTGCCTAGTAAGCTTAGCAGCCTTGACAAAATACTGGACATTACAGCGCTCAATAGCTATGATAGATCAGACTCTTCACGGAAATGGTTCAGCTGAGCGATTCAGATCTGATTCAATTTCAAAGCGGTGCATGACGATTGATTCAATTGAATGGACTCCATCGTGGCCGATCAGAAGCTGTCCAATTGAAATTTCAAGAGTAAAAGGCCCAGGGATTCATGTCTCAACGCTCTGGTACTGCTCATCAACAGGTTTTACTTGCATTCCCTCAATTCTCTACAACAATATGGTCCAAACATTTTCTATCTTGGCACTGGTATCCCCCTCCAACACAATCCTTGCTGTCAGTTTGCTGTCCCAGTTGAAGCAGTCTATGCACGCGACTTGGAGATGCAAGACTCGAAAGTTGCATGCTGAGAAAGATTGCCAATGAAGTTGGGTTCGTCAATCTGTGCTCTCGATGTAAATGTACTGACGTTGACATAGAAAAGACGTCTATACCAAAGCTGGAGACAGTCTCATGCATGATGGACCAACCCTTCCAGTACCCAAACTCGGTATGTAACCGCGAAAGCACCGTCCAGCTCTTTTCATCTCAAAGTTCTAGTATCAGAATCGCATTGCCGTCGAGGGAAGAGAATTTCCGATAGAGGGTCGAGGCCCGCTGTGAAACATAGGAAGACAAAGGAATCTCCATTTTAGATTGAAGAGATTGTGGTAGGAGCTGGAAGCATATATAAAATGCATCATCTGCATCGGTCTCATTCAGATAAGCCCCCTTTGAATCAACTCTTCTACCTTCAAGCTCATCTGTGGTAAAAGACACAGGTTCAACGCGACTTCCACTTTTGATCATGGATTGTACCGTGAAAGATATTATATAAGTCATACAGTATCTATTGTAGGTAAATAGAGATAATGAAGAATATGTATGAATACAAGTACAGTGTGTGATGAAGAGACCATGGAATCTGAGAAGAATTACACAATTATGATGCAACAAACCATATAGAAACTGAAACCCAACAACAAAATGAGTCTATTTGACCCGAGAAGATGATGCTTTCTTGTTCGGAGGACTGAGGCTGAGACGACCCAAAGCCTGCTGGAAAGGATTTTTTCCCTTAACCTTTTGACACATGGCAGGGGGCCCATCAGCAGGCTCTGCCATTTCCTGAGCTGATCGCTTGCTCTAGTTGTATATCAGAAAAAGATGAAGATCTCAAAGAGTGTGTATCTTACTCTGTCTCCGAACAATGCTGAAGCCCATTTTCATAATATAGGGCGCAGAGAAGGCAACTTCTTCCCTGACTTGACAGATTGTGGTGTCTACGCAAATGAGTATAGCATATGAAACCTAAGACTCCAATGTAACAACATACTGTTGGCTGAGAATGGGAGGCCTACAGAACACAGTTGGAGCAAGAAACTGGGAGAAATGAAGTCACTTGCATCATTGTCCCAGAAAAGGGTCTGTAATGAACAGTCAGCAAGACCTCAGGTTGGGATGAATTAGCTACTTGCTGGGACAAGATAAATTGAAGCGCAAGGGTGAAGAACCAGATTTCTGCAAAGTTTCTTCTCGACGCTTTGATTCTTGGTTTCCTTTTCAGGCCATGTTATGTCATCATTGTTGACATATTTCTTCCTTCACCACATCACTATCAAGTGAGTTTCTAAGCTTCGTTGGTCATTGGAAGTCCTTAGAATGAGCGTATATAGCTTAACAGGTCCTGGCAGGGTGAAATCATTGTTCCTTAGTATTATCCAACCCTCAAATATGTCATGAGCAGGAATATGGCCTTCATTCTCTCAATGATCATCTTTGGTGGCAAAGTTTGCTGTTTTGAAGCACCATTCAACAGTTTTCATGAGTGTATATCATGTATGAATGACTTTTTGTTAATTCTTTCATGACTCTTCACCGCTGCTTCACAACACTTCACAATGCATGATCTCAACAGTGACACCTTCGAATGTCGAGCCACTGTCCAGGTCCGAATTCAAAGCATAAGGAGGAGGATGCAGCGGATCAGCAGCAAGAGAAGGAGGTGAAGGAGGTGAAGGAGTGAAGGTGAAATAGAAGGAGGAGGGGAAGGAGTAGGAGCAGGCCATAAACGGCAAGTTCTCGACGAAACTAGGATGAAACTAGCCTCGTAAGGCCCTCTGAAATCTCGGTATCTTGTGCCGCTTCTAAAGTCCTTCTGATTCATGCCTAGATGCTCCTTCCATCACACAATTGAACCTGTTCACCTTTACTATCCACAATACCTCTATTCAACTCGCACCTTCGGCTCTCTTCATAGCAATTTTGGTGAATTCATCCAGATCCTCTTTCGGCAATCCAAGGAGCTCATTATGCAGCTTCGCTTCGTAATTCCCGCAACCGTCAGGGAAGAAGGTCCGCGAATAAAGCATTTTCCCGAAACCTTCCAACATCTCACCCTTCTTTATCAACTCCTGTCCTTCCTTCCACCGAGCATCGGAGGCTTGTTTCTCCACTTTCCAACTACTGGCTTCATCTCCAGTCACCCTGAGAATCGACTCCAACATATCCTTCTGGCTGAGAAGGAAGGAAGAGATGTAGAGAGGCTTGTTTCGGAATTGCGACAAAGTGGGGCTCTTGTCGTCAGCATCATCTGGAAGCAGCTTGAGGCTCAGGAGCCGAGCGACTGCGAGACCAATCTGCGGCCAAGTGCTGTGGTTGATCTTCTGGGTCCCTTCGTCGAAGAAGGTGACTGTCCGATTCTTCAAGTCAAAACCGTAATAGGCAGGACCAAACGACAAGCTGAATTCATACCAGAAGCTGGTAGTCACTGCGATCCAAGAGCTCTTTCCCAGCTTTTCGACCAAATCACGTTCAGCAACTTTGGCGATAGCGACATGGGGGGCGGCGATAAGGCTCTCTGTTAGAAGCTTGGTATCGGTTGAGTCAATGGCATACGCATTTGGAAGAACCCAAGGAACATTGGCAGCAGCAGCGGCTTCGATGAGCTTGGTGTTTTGCTCTGGAGGAGCCGTCGTGCCCAGGGTGATAATGAGAGCTTCTTGGCCTTGAAGAGCTGCGAAGAGAGAAGAAGCATCATCATAGTTGACCTTTTTAACTTTGACGCCAGTGGGAAGTTTCGAGGTGCTACCGACTCGGGTTATAGCGGTGACCTCATGCTTTCCTGTCTTGAGCAATGCATCAACGATGAATGAGCCCACCTGTCCACCTGCCTGCAAGCAATAGTGTAAGAGTGGATCTTTCATGAAGAGACTTTGAGCTTACCCCGACGATAGCGACTTTCTCAAGGTAGTTTTTGGTACCTTTGGTGGCGTAGTGGGTCATCGTATGGAAGAATGGGTTGAGATGGAAATCGGAGACCGTTGAAGCTCTTTATAGCCTGAATCGCTAAGGAAGGAAGGAAGGAAGGAAGTTCAACGATGAATCATGTTCAAGCGTTGATCAAGATTGGTGAGCATGAATAAGGCTGACTATACCGCCTTCGTCGGTTCGGACCTAACTTAATCCCGTATCCCGGAAAGGCAATACATTCTGATGCGGACACCAAGGAACTGAAATTTCAAACGGTACTGTAACTAAAACAGAAACGAGAAAAAGAAAGAGCGACGCGTCAGAATGATGACAAATCATTACTGCAAATATCTACAAGTCGGCTGAAAATCGACAACTCAGACATTGGTCAACTTTCAACCGAGGTGGTGGTTTCACTTCTAATTTCTCGTCTTAGCTGGCTAACTTATCGGGGGAATGCATGTGTTATCGGATGTTGCTAACAAGAAAAAGTATCATTGGACTTCGGCGAGGCGCCGACCAGGAATCAAACCTGAGCTATCGTAGTACAACCAAAAGGCCGCTTATCGGACGACAGTGCTACCACTACACCATCGGCACAACCTTAGCTCTAGAGCTAGTCGTCCGTGATCTCTAGTCTGTGTACATGGCCTCTATAAGTCCTCTCAAGAAAACATATCCCGAAGTATAAAAAATGATCACTTTCAATCCAGGCGGAGACTAGAAATCGAGCTTGAGCCGTCGCCGTGCGATAATGCCACCACTACACCATCAGCGCCTTCACGAAACCGGGGTCAAATCCAGGCATTCAGCCGCGCAAATAGAGAAATCCTAGAGCAAGAGAACAGTCGACCGTGGAACAACAGTATCGTCTCTGACCACAAGCTCAAGGTCAGCACCTCCATCAACTCTCTTATAAACAGCGACACCACCACTTTGCGCTCCAGTCGCCACGAGATATTCCTCTGCTCCGCTCCCTACAGCACCAAATTCGACACCTCTGAGCTCTTCGAGGCCAGTGTATACTTGTTTCACGAGCGTCAGAGCCCCGTCAGCTGAAGCCTCGAAAATCGCGATGGGGTCACCACGAGGGTCATGATCGCCACTGGGAGTGCGATTCGCGATGTTCCTGTTTGTCGCATAGAGATACTGAATTCGACTTGCTGTTGATTTCGGTGGCGCAAGAAGCTCTGCGGCGAACCAAGCTCCGTCAGCGGGACCATCTGTCGGCGCCACGCTGACATTACTGATAAACTCCGAAGTGCCGTTCGGGTAAGATGGGATCTTTTGTGACGTGAGGGTGGAGGCGGTTTCGTGGACCGTGTAGAATATGTCGTCGATGATGGCGATGTGGCGCGGGCCGGAGCCGGTGGGGGTGCGCGATGAATCCGTGGATCGCATATTCTCCGGTCGTCGAACATTTTCCCAGACGCCAGATTTTGTCGCCACCTAGGTCTGAGACGAACAGCTCGTCGCGGTGTTCCAGGACCATGTGGGGGTTCGAAACGCCGCCGGCTGGGGCTGGGAATGTTATCACTGGGGCTGAAGTGGCGAATTTGGTCTCATAGTCGATCATTGGGATGACTTTTCCGTTTGCACCGCCATACTGACGAGAACCTCAATAATTTGCAGGGCCAATAGGACAGAGGACGTACATTCATGACTGCAACAGCGCCCGAGGACAGCTGGGCCGCAAAAGCCGGTCCATTACCGCCAGAGCTCACTGTATCCAACACCTGCAATTGTCCTCCTGGCAGAATCTGGAAGGACTGCACTGCACCATCTGCGATTTCGTTGGTCGCACTACAAATAGTGATACGCATCAGTAATCTTATTAGCCTTCATTGAGCTAGTCAAACGCACTAGAAAATCCTCGGATTTTTCAAATTCGGAGTAATCCACGAAGGGCTCGCTCCAGTCGTCGTATTGGCCAGGAATGTCAGGGTGGAGGCGTCGGTGTCGAATATGTATGAAAGAATGTAGGAGGTATATCCACCGAGAAAGACGGTAAAGTTGACCATGACTGGCGGAGGAATTAATGACTGAGCGAGAGAGAAGGAATTATGACTGACCGATAGAGAGAAAGAAATATGTCTGAGAGACAGAATAATGATTGCTCTAGCTCTTTATATACGAAACGGCACTGACATCAAAAGGTTACAATGGTTACGTAGGGTTGCGCGCGTGATATCAGGCCAATGTGCTCGTATCAGCGGTATCAGCACGAGGTTTTGCTTGACCATTTATAGCAGAGCTGTATTGATCCTTTTATATCTTTTTAGCTTTGCATTGAACGATAGGCAAAGCTTCGGCGAAGGAAATTGAAAGGTGCAGCAAGAGCGGATTTGTGCCATGTACGCAATTTCGAGCAAGCTGAACGGGACTAAAACAAGACTTGGACTGAAACCGATTAACAATGTGATCGCCCCATTTGCTGTTCCGAGAAACTCGGCGTGCCAGTCGGCTTAATGCTCCGCTTCAATCACGGTCCAAAAAGATCTGAGGAACAAAACGGCAGGATTGCATTCAAAGGGTACTTATATCGAGCGAGCGACCAGTATAAACTCTGGCCCATTTCGCGACAAATATGGACGCGGTTCATTTCTTCATATACGCCGCCATTCCTGCCAGATTAGCCGATTCTGTTCGGCTCGTCAAGACGATAAGCTGCAAGAATGAAAGAGACGCACCAATTGGGACTCCAGTCTTCTCCTCGGAAATATCGAGTGTCTGTACGACACCAGAATTGTCGGTCAGGTCCAATACAGTCACAGACCGGTTCGCCGCTGTCAAAACATACAAAAACCTGCAATGGAAATGAGCATCTACAGGGATGCAAGGAGAAATCTCGTACCCGTTGGAAGCAGCAGCGATATCGAGAGGTCCACCGTTCAAAATATGTTGCTATTCAAAACCCGTCAGTTTTCGACAACAAAGAAAGAATGAATAGAAAAGGGATTATTTACCTTCCCAACAGATGACTTCAAATCAGGTCCGATATTCACTTCCGTGATGGTCCCAGCCCCAGGAGCCGACAGAAAATACTTTCCCGTCCGCTGGCTATATGCCGACCAGCAATTCCCCCCAGGCGCGGCAACCTCCGCCTGTCCAAACCCAGACTCCAAATCCACGACATCATATCCCTGGTTCGTATCCGCCAAAAACAGTGCTCCAGGTTTTCCGGCGATAGGCGTCATGGAGAAAGGTGATGCACCTCCATGTGGTACTACTCTAGTCTTGAACTTGTCAGATATGGAACCACCATAGAGGACATCCCAGACGGCGATGAACCCAGCATGGGTGGTATTATCAGTCCCTTTAACAGCAGCATAGAGGGACTTTCCATCTGGACTGAAAAGGATATCACTAGCTGTCCCTGGAGCAGCAGCTGGCGGCGTCGTCTGGTTGAGCCCCAAAGACCTGACTGTCGAAGGTATAAGACCGTATTTCGGGATGATTTTGTAGCAGCTATAGAAAGAATCCCGTCAGTTAGAAGACCTTGAAGCTAAGAATTCAAGTACCTGACACCATTCACCTTCCCTCCATTCAGAACGCAAACCCCATCGCCATTCGGATTGATCGTAACAGATACAGGGAATTCTCCCTTGGTGGATATTGGCTTGCCCAGCATGGTCAATTTGGTCGGATCTGTGCTATCAATGTCGAACAGCACAACAGTGTTTGAACCAGCCTTCACCGAAAGCTTTCAGTCAACATTTCAAAGCGTAAAGGAACAGACGAACATTGATTGTAGCCAAAAGCCGATGGTCTTGCGATACCGCTACAGAGCCTTGACTGAAAAAGGCATCACCGGCGGTGAGAACGGCCTGGTGAGATCCAGCTCCGCCTGCATATGTCGCTTTGCCGACAGTCTGGGATTCATTCTCAATGAGAAAAAAGGGATAACTAGAGGAGCTTGGGTACCAGTTTTCCGTCGGCACTGATGGCAGATGCGACGACATAGTTTTTATCGGGCTGATTGGAGATAACTGTATAACATGTTAGCTTGAAGTCAAGGGAAAAAGCATTGTGACTTGCAGTAAACAGCGCCGACAGTGCTTCGCTTTGAACTAGCAAGGTCAGCATGTGAGGTATAGAAGAACAAGGAGACAAAGAGTAAAGTAGAAAGGCGCATTGTTGGTTGACCATTTCTGCTGAATTGAGATCTTATATTCGACCAAAGCCCGTGCATCGCCAAACAGGATCGGTCAAGTCTGACCGTCCTGTGATAACAGGATTGGTCAAGTCTGACTGTGGATTGGTCAAGTCTGACAGTCCTGTGATATGGGTAACATTGAAATGAGCTGATATATATAAAAATACATTCCGATGCCAAAGCATTTGTGAGCAGCGCCCGTGATCACACGTGATCGTGGTCGATAAGGGTGTATTGAGTACATCGATCAGTACAGTCTTCTGATTCTGTCTATATCTTCTTCTTCTCTCTTACAATCGTCCTGTGAGCCATTAGACATGATACCGAATGATGTTTCGAACGACGTACCAGCATTACCAAGGTCCTCACAAGCTTCCTTAACGCGGACCGAGAGCGTCTTTTCACCTTCACGCACCCAAACCCTCGGGTCGTAGTACTATGAAACAATGAGATTTCAATGATTCAGACCAAGACGGAGAAATACGGACTTTCTTGTTGGGCTTATCAGCGCCCTCAGGGTTGCCCACTTGCTTCTCCAGGTAATCCTTCTTCTTCACAACGTAATCCTATATCGTATGTAAGCAATGATTTTGAAGAAGAGCGAAGAGGAAGACAGACCCGTATACCAGCAAGGTAAGCGAATTGGGTATCAGTATCCACGTTCATTTTGATGACACCATTGTCGACGGCAGTCTTGATCTCTTGTTTCGTCGATCCAGATCCGCCATGGAACACAAGGTACCTGTATAACTATTAGCCAAGCCTTTCAAACCGTGGAATCGACGACGTACAAAGGCTTGGGGGTGTTTCCACCGAGCTTGGAGCTCGCAAATGCTTGGTGCTTCCCGAGAAGATCTGGCTGAAGCTTGACGTTTCCGGGTTTGTATACGCCGTGGACATTCCCAAACGCCGCCGCAATGCTGAAATTCGGGCTAATCTTGCTCAAGGCATCATAGACGTCGAAAATGTCTTCAGGCTGGGTGTACAGGCTAGCATTGTCGACGCCGGTATTGTCGACACCATCTTCCTCGCCCCCAGTAATACCGATTTCCATCTCGAGCCAGATTCCAATAGCGGCCATGCGCTTGAAGTATTTGACGCAGGTGGCGATGTTTTCGTCTTTGGGCTCTTCGGAGAGGTCGAGCATGTGGGAAGAGAAGAGAGGTTCGCCGTGCTGTTTGAAATGAGCCTCGTCGGCGTCGAGCATCCCGTCGAACCAGGGAAGAAGTTTATGCGCGCAGTGGTCGCTGTGCATCACGACAGGGCTTTGAATGAATGAGAAAAGAAACCTGAGAGACGAAAAAGCGGACGTACACGCCATATTCCTTTGCGACAGTACGAACATGCAGAGCAGCAGCGACAGCACCCGTAATCGATGCTTGCTGCTTGTCATTCGCCAGCCCTTTTCCAGCGAAATAGGCCGCCCCGCCCTGCGAGACCTGGA